CCGCTTACAGCCAGTAACGACTATGGGGCATCACCAAATCAATACGTTCTCCAATCTGCTGATGGAACTCAAGAGGTAAGAAAAATGATCAGTTTGCATGTAGAGAATAAGTTTGAAAGTAGCTTCAAAAGGGGTCAAAATGTAGAAAAATTGTTTATCTAACATGATCGTATCCTTATTTCTTTCTCCTACGTGTAACAGTTGACACGAATGTGCATTCAGACATGCATAATAAGTACGACCTTGGACTCTAAAATTTTTAATAAAACGAGAAACTTACTTTCGTATCGTTACATATGTTTCATGTAGGTGTAACAGTTTCGTTTGATTCAAAGGGCGTGTTAAGAATCATTTAATGTATTGTTGATTTATTTATTTATTATTTAAGGAAAGAAAGGTAAATGCCCTAGGAACAGGTAATAACATTGTCTTTAGTCAACCGTGACTATTGGCCACCTATCACCGATTAACGTAGCAGTCTAGTGTGTAACAGCTAAGAGAACTGTACATTTTTCTTACCTAGTAGAACGGAGGGCTCGCCTTGTTGATCTAGATATTGTGTTGCAACAACAATTGCAATAGGTTCATTTCAATTAACGTCGTTACTTAAGATTGCCACTGTCAATCCCATCATTCCGTTTTCAATATGAACTCGAAATATTAAGTTTTCTCTGAAACATAGATAAACGGTATTCGTCTACTCTTAATAAGAAACAATACTACATCTTGAAAAGAGTAAAATGTAAGCGTTATTTTCTCATGTATACTCGTATTTATGTTGGAGTATTTGAACCTCTGGAAAGTGAGAGGAAGTAAATTCCAGAGCACAAGAATGCGTAAAATCTAAATCCTCTTTTCAAAAGTATAACGAAATATTAAAATTATTGTACAATAGATATGATCATTTCAAATAACTCCAACTTAGATTTTCCGGTATATTATTATTATTCTAATGAAAATGAATCGTTGTTGAAAAGTTGATCAGAGAATTTCTCCATGACGAATACAATTCAATCTGGTATCCGGTATTATGTAACGTATCGAACGTTTCAAAAAAAAGTGTAGATAGAGAAGAATTTAAAAGTGTCCTGTTCTAAGAATAAGTAAGAGTTCGCATAAAAATAGTCGAATGAATCATTGATCCATAATATCCTGAAGGGGTTTTAAATCTCCTCAACACCTACACCCGTTCATGATCGTTCCGTCGTGTTAAACGCGATCATGCTCTGTTGCATAACTTTTACCTTCTAATCGGTCCGACCAGACAAAACCGGTAATACCACACCCAACGATCGAGAATATATCCGTCTACGAAGTTCGCGGGTGGTAAGATACATTCTCTATATGGTGTCCACGTCCTTGTGTACCGTTAACGTGATAAGTCATATTGAATGAATCTTTATCTTCATTTATGGGTCATCGACTCCTATTATACTACGCGATGAACGCACTCTGAGAAACAGAGACGAACATCGGAACAGGAACATGATATTTGAGAAACCAAGCGAACCAGTTCAAGACAGCATTGCTGCCTTAAGCCCCTGCCACACGGCACCTTTCGCGGATGTCTTTAACTGCAACAAAATATTCACAAAATATCAGCGAAAGAAAATCTAACCAAATGATCTATTTTATTTATTTATTTATTTTTTTTCTATTAGATACCACAAGAATATCTGTCAGTGATACAACAATACGCACCAGAACAAGCTCAAGCGGTGCCACAGCAACGCAATCCACAGCCAGCATACGCGAAACAACAACAAGCGTTGCAACAAGCTTATTACAACTACCGGAAGCCAACGGTCGTCCCGCCCAGACCTCGTCCTCAACTCCATCCTCAAGCTCTGGCGCAAGCCGAAGTGAACGCAGAGATTCAAGCTCAGGTCGAAGCACAAAATCGTGCGGATGCTATTCGCACTGCTCGTTTAGGTTCGAATCCTCCGGCTTATCAACCCACGTCCCAACCGAAACTGGGAACCTTCGAGCAAGAATTATTGCAATTGGTCTCTGCAAATCAAGCGGAAGAATTCAAGTTGATCCCGACCCAGCCTAAAGGTAGCACTTCCTCTTACACTCAACAGTTGGTCAGTTATCCAGTTCAGTACGCGAAGCCAGCAGCGGCGCCTCAGCTGTCCGAACAGTATCATATCGAGACATCTCCTCCTCGTTATCAACAACCCCAGCAGGCAGTAGCATCGTATCAGTCCGTCGAAGAACCTGTACAGTATCAACAAGTTCAACAAGCGAAAGCTTACAACCCGGCTCCGCAGTACGATTACATCGAAGACGAGGCGCATTTAAGAGGCCTCGAACAGGCTCAGGCTCAAGCTCAAGCCCAGGCTCAAGCCGACGCGGTTGCGTTTCAAAAGATTGCCCAGGCAGCTTACAAAAAGCACAGGCAAGATGCCTTGGAACACATGAGGATCACTAACGAACGTTTCAGACAACAGTCTGCATTGGAACAGATTCAACAGGGTGCCCAAGTGAGCAACGCTGGACGTTACCATTTACAGGATCAGCTGAGCCCGAAGGGTGCAGAGACTGCCTACAGGGCGAAGCTGAAGGCTCAAGCAGCCGCTGAGACAGCCGAAGCGAGAAAACAGCAACAAGCTGCGGAGTTCAAGGCTCACGCTGATGCTATCAAGAAACTGGAGGCTCAGCAACAAGTTCATCTGAAGATACAGGAACAGGTTCATAATTACGCGCTGAACTTTGAGAAGAATTTAATGCGCGCGCAGGAGATTGCGCAGGCGCAAGCCGAGGCCCTCTACAAGTCGCAACAGGAAGCTCGTGGCCAGGTTAACAACGAGATTCTGGCGATCTCGAAAGGGCAAGTTCAAGGAAAGAAAGTCGACGCGGAATCACCTTTGTATCATTACACTCTATCGACGACCACTCCACTTCCTTTGCTCAACAGTTATTTCACCAACGAACAGTTGCAGAAGTACCAGGCATCGGGTTCCTCGCCTGTCCCTAGGTCTGTGCCGAAGCCGGACGACACACCAGCGGAATCTGTGATCACCCAACCGCGACAAACGCACAAATTAAAGATTCCCTCATCGCCTTCGTCTGTTTATGTTTCCGAATCGGGTTTGCTGAAGAAGTCGCCCATCAAATCCATAACTATAGAAGAGGTGATCGAGTCGGAGCGACCGAGCGGTCACGCTATACTACAAACGGCCGCAGCCAAGGGACGTACCTTAACCGAGGATGATATTTCGGCATTGATCAATCAGGGATACACCGTCACTCCGGTACCACCTCCTGCGAAACCTGTCCAACAGATATATGCTATTGAGAACACGTCCTCGGGTTATTACACCAAGAAGGCTCCTGTTTCCAGACCCGAGTACATAACTTACGAGGAGGTAATACAACGTCCGCGTAAACTTGTCAGAAAAAACAAGTCCATCGTGAAACAGGACGAGAAGGAGAGTAATGCCAGTGAAAAAGTTACCTACTTGCTACCTATCGAACCTTCTTTCGGTACACGACAACCTGCCCTTAAGCATCAAGAGTAATTCGATTTAGACGATTTGATTGTCGCCATTGCATCGGGTACTAGTAACTCTTCTATAGCACCAAAATTTGTACTCTGTTAAAAGAGAGAAAAATATTATTTCATTCCCTTTGGCGAACAGTTCTACAGATTTTTAATAACTTTTTTTATATTTTTATATCATACGAAATCGTGTTATAGGAGGGTTACGTGTACAGAGTAATGCAATATGTAATAATGTAATCGAAATACGATACTCTGCAGTTTATCTTTCATATCTGATTCCATATTCTATGCTGACATTCAAAGGTGTCGATGAATGAATTAATGAAATATTGGAATTATTAATACCACGAATGTGACATAAATAGTATATTAATGTTGGATTGAAAGATCAAGCACGTGAAATAATACATTATTTACACGTATGAAAAATATTTAAAAAACCATTAAATATTAAAATATAACAATGGTTTAATATCTAGATGCAATATCGATAATTCTTCATACACTTCAACTTACATTTTCCTCTTTCTTTTTTTTTTTTTTACATTTTTATATCATACATTTGTCTTCGAGTACAGTTAACGCGAATCAAACGTGTTGATTGACAAACGCAAAGAAATTGTTAGATTTTTCTCAATGTAAATGTCAATCAAAGTGAGTGATCGAATTCAATCAAAGCTCCATTATTAGCACAAATATACCTACGTAGATTGAAAAAAAAAAATCAATTTTCTACTGTAAACCAGTAGAATTTAACGTAATATTCTACGTAAATGTCGTTTGTAGACGTTATGTGCTGCGGTGCTGAGTCGAATAATTCTTAATTTATACTTACTAATTGTATATACTAGATGATCTTTTTTTTTACTTAATAAAACAGTTCAAAAGTTTCGCCTCAACGTGTATGACATATTCTCGTTCCTACAAGCGTTCCTTTTTCATCGTTATAAAACAACGAACATTCTTCTGTCAAAAGAAAAGCTCTTATATAATAAGGTAACAATTTCAAAGAATTGTTTGTAGCTGTACTATTTTCGTAATAAAAATATCGAAAAATCACGTCTGAAATGATAACCTTGATCATTATCGATGTTAATATTATTTAAAAATACTAAAGTAACGAAAAAAGAAGGGAAAGGATAGTTTTGAATAGCATTAACCCTTTCGCTGCTGCAGGCGATCGCAGACTGTACCACTCTAACTCAAAGTGGTTTGATTTAATAACGTATCGCTTCTACCAGAAGTGACCTTAATAAAAGAGTTAAATTTTAACTGTACGTTTCTATTAGACCAAGAAATTTATTTAATGTATACCTTGCTTTACTTAACTGAAGAAGGAAAAGAGTTATGGGCGTTGTAACAGTCGAGTTGACTACCCTGTATAAAACAGTATTTCACGTAGCAATTAAACGTTGCACGTATCAAATCAGAATAGTCCTTGTTCGAGTTGTGCGCTATTACAGGTAGGACTTTCTCTCCGTCGCTGTGACATAATCTTTTGAACAGGAGAGCTGGAACTGAACGGCAGATTGAAAACTGGATTAGTTTCGTTTATTATCACGTACAGTGCGGACATGACAAGGAACTGTTGCAGCTTTGTTATACCGGTGTTGGGTGTTCTTCTGGTAACAGGGTACACAGCATCGCTTCAGGTAATCGTTATTATTCTTCGAACGTTAAATTGTTTTTGATCCTAAATAAAGCGCGCTTACACTCTTTCACGGTAGTTGACGCGAATTCATATCCGTCTATTGTACCTGTTTAGAATCGAATAGTGGTTGCCGATTACAATTACAAAGACTACCAGCAGGACTACCAAAATTACCAGCCAGTTGGTAAATATGATAAAACTTACAACGACTACCAGCAGGATTATCAAAATTACCAGCCAGTTGCTAAATATGATAAATCGTTCAACGACTACCGGGACTACCAAAACTATCAAAACTTTCGACCAGTTGCAAAATTCGATAGACCGATCGTCGTGAAAGCCATCGAGAAGCCGAAAAACGAACAAGATTTTAGTAAAATACCTGGTATACCTGGGGTAGATTTCCCTTTGTATCATACCGTGCCTCCGACAAGCTTCTCCTGTGCACACGTTCCATTCGTGCCTGGAATGTACGCAAACGTGGAAACTGGTTGCCAGGTAATTCATTACATTCTGATCTCATTTACAATTAATTGCGTAAGTATGGAACATATTATGGAAAGCATACCGTAACCAACGGGTAAAGATCGTAGGGTGTCTGCCAGGAAATAATGTTATGTATAGGGTGTTCGACAACAGGTGGGAGATTTTTTAACCCTTTCCCACCTGAGAGGACATCATTGTTGTTGATAGTGCGTCGTTATGGGGTCGTTTAAGACCTTCAGCCTTTCAGGCAGAAAAGTTACCTGGAGGAGAAATAACGGTTCCCAGTCATTACCGGGAACTGATTTTTTCGCCGTATTGAAAGGGTTAAGGAGTGATTCCAGGGATCAAAATAAAACGAAAATCAAGAATGACGAAATAGCGATTGCGGCTTTGTTTTCCAGTAATTAACGTTTAAAAATTCGAGTAAAAAGCGCCTAAAACCCGCAATCTGCCCGGCACTGACGACTGAACGTCAGGTCAGCAGGGGCGAGTACAGTCACAACCAAGAATCATTGAATACTAGAAACTTACCTCGTGCTATTCTATAGGGTGATCCTCTCGCTAGTGGACTCAAAGGAAGTATCGCCACACCAGTATGAATGGACCCAAGCCCTTTTCTCGACGGAGGTGCATACTGTAGCTGTGTCCGTGAAAAGGTATCGATGACAGAGAAAGGACTAGGGCCACTTCATGCTATTGTGGCGGCACTTCCTTTGAGTCCACTAGCGAGAGGATCACCCTGTATTTCTCGGTACTGCAGCATTCGGCTTTCTCTTCTTGGTTATGATTGTACCCACCCCTGGGACCAAAAAGATGCCGTTGGGGCCTTGCAGCCAGCCCCAGCGGTAACATGTGCCAACCCCTCCTCCTCGTGGTGTGGTCCGGGCACCGGTTTACCGGTGGCAAACGGGGCTCTGGCTGTGGACGTGAAGCGCCTGGTGGGTGTAGCTGGGAGCCCACTCAAGTTAGCTTGTTAAAAGTAAGAGCGTCTTAGAGCAAAACTCCTTACATGCCGACGAAGAGTCTGGTGTTGGGTCTTCCGTACCCGTACGATGATTGGCTTGCCATGAATGCAATTGCTCCGGCCCGTCGCCCCTTGGTACAGAGGTGACGCTGGGAGTAGATCACTATCACTAATTTTGCCCTACAGGGCCGGCGCTTGTTGCCCAACGAACCCTATCGTCCACGCGCCTATGGGGATGGATTGGCAGCACTGCGCATGCAGCGGCCAAACCCCGCGCATTTTTTGAATTTTTTCTTTGTCTTACATTTTCCGTACTTTTAATTCCGTGAGTTTATCACTCCATACTTTTACTTTTCTATACTCCATACTTTTTTTAGTCCTTATGTGTGTGTGTGTACGTGTGTGTATCGTTGCCAACAGCACACGGTAACCCCCATCTATTGGCGAAACCGTGCCCACTTAGCTTGACTTCGGTGATCTTACGGGTACCGGTATGGCCTAAGTGGCTAAGGCCGTTGACTGGGAGTAGATCGAAATTAGCGCTAAGCGCCCTGTAACATCGCCGGTATAAACGGAAAGCTTCGGAAGTCGTCGATGCTGGGCAGATCACGGGTTTTAGGCGCTTTTTACTCGAATTTTTAAACGTTAATTACTGGAAAACAAAACCGCAAACGCTATTTCGTTATTCTTAATTTTCGTCTTATTTTGATCCCTAGAATCACCCCTTAAAAAATCTCCCACCTGTTGTCGAACACCCTGTATATATACCGCAGTTCACCAGAGTTCATAACTGCGAAAAAGACCAGTTTTCGTTCTTTCGTGCGCATCTTCGCCCTGATTGGCGATACTCCCGAACGAAGTAGAAAGCGATTAGCAGAGAGCTCGATGCGTTCCCCCACCATCTTCCAACCTGCGCATCGCAGTTATAGACTCTAGTGAAATAGGTAGTTAAGTTTATGTTATAATTTCAGGCATATCATATTTGTCACGATGGTCGGGAAGGTCATCAAGGAGCTTCGTTCCTCTGCACTAATGGAACTCTTTTCAATCAAAAGGATTTTGGTTGCGATTGGTGGTATAATGTGAATTGTGCTGAGGCACCAGCTTTGTACAGGTACATACACTTCTGTCATTTACTTAAATAGAGTAATTGGGAAGAGATTAACAACAGGTACATTTTATTTATTTCAGATTAAATGAGGATCCTCTAAAGAATCCGTTCGTGCCAAAGGAAAAGAAAGATTCGTATCGAAAACTAACGAGAATCGTCGTTGTTTAAATTCCATGACCGAAGCGCAAAAAGAACACTGAACCCTCCTACTGTGTTCGGATTTACAGTGACCCAATAGGAGAGTCAAACTCTGGAAGATGAACGCTCTGACAACAAGATTGAAGCGAATGCAGGCTCATTTTGATCCGTAATTAAAACTTTATCAGATACAAATAATTTGTTTTCAAGTGTAAGTAGTACATTTGAATCAAAATGACCGTGCAGTTAGAACTGCTTACTTTTGGACAGAAATCTCTTGATGAATGCATTTTATAATATCAGTATTTTCATGAATGTAGTTTAAATCTTCTGTTAGATTTCATTGTACAAATCATATCTATTATTATATGTAATGTGAAATAAAAAGAATTTTTAAGTCTTCTCAAAAATAAAAAAAGTAATAACACGAATAAGTATAAAAAATGATGATTTAAGATTATTACCACTCTGCGTATACATAATTTCGTTTTACTCTGTTAATCATCGACAGAATGAACGTAGACTCGAAATTACGAACCCACGTAATTATTCAGAATGTAGATAAGGACAAAACCGAGGATCACAGAGGTAAACTGTAAAATACCCGCGCAACGACGCTCGCTGCTGTGCCATCTTGCTCTTTCCCTCGGCAAAATTTCACTGACCGTCCCATACAACAAGGTTCCTCCTGCTAAGCCTTGCAAAATCGGTGCCACGATTTTCGTCCATTTGTTGTTCGCCTACAGAAATGTTATCTTTCAGATTTCTGTATAATTCAAGGGGTTGAAAAAGAAGATACTTGCTCGCATCGTTAGCATTCCAATCCCTATACCGAGGGCAGATCCAGCTGAGAATACGAAAATTGCCAACACCAGTCTAACAACAGAACTATTGGCTCCAGCTAATTCTAATCCTAAACAAAAACCGACTACGAACTTATGAGAGGCCACTGCTCCAACCAGCAGAAAGACCTGAAAATGAAAAAAAAAATTTGGGAACCATGGATTTGAACTCTGAACCTTTAGATTGCGAGTCAAGCGTTTTACCGCTGACAACCGTTTGTATGTATAAATTTATCATACTTCTCAATGTAAGGAGTAACTAACTTTAATTGTTAATATCTTTTAAACAATTAGCCATCTGCCCTCAAAAGAGGGTATAGGCGTATTCAACTCGACGAGCTCTACAAGGTGGCAAAGTTTCATTACCAAGTGAGCGTTACACTTGGTTAGTTCCGCTCGTGAGTTGCGTTGATTCTGTTGCGGCGTGTGACACTACGCATGCGCACGCCACGCCGGCAGCCGATTGGCTGCAGTCCCTCATTCGCGTGCCCCTCGCCAATCGGCTGTCCGGCGTGAATATGTGTTAGAGTCACACGCCGCGACAGAATCAACGCAACTCATTGTCAGTGTATTTATATATGTTTACCTCGGACAATGCTTTCTGCAGACCAACCGCCAATCCTTCGAGAATAGCATGAACGGTAAGCGCTAATAAAAGACCCATAAGGTTGGCGTTCGAATTTGCACAGGGTTCCGAGTGATTTCCATGGCATAAGAAGGTCTCTTCGTTGGTAAAGTTAGGAGCGGTAGGTCCATACTGCACTGCTCCATACGTAGAAGTTCTTGAAGTGGAATTATTCGTTCCATTTCCGATAAGATTTGTCTGATACGGATTTACGTCGAATATAGAAACACTTCTGGTAGTATTCCGATTGACAATGGCAGGCCCGACCTGGTGTGAATGACTTCTGCAACGCTCTCTGCAACCGAGAAATCCAGCTTCGTCGTTCTCATCGATACGTGCGATCGATTGCTACCGGTTACAATGCGACCTGATACTAACATTAAAGCAATTTTCATTCTTCAATGTACGTATAACAATTAAAGAGTGAAAATTGCCTCTATCTTTAGACGAAGTCGAACCATCGTTATCTCTGCACAACGAATCAACAAGTACATACATGTCTCCAATCTCCTCCTCAACGCTTGTGAGCTCGCATGAAAGACACTCTCGTAAATACTAAATATTAAATACAGTAAAACCTCGATAAGTCGTCACTAAAGGGACCGAGAAATTTTGACGACTTAAACGGGGTAAAAACCATGTAAATTTTAAAATGACGAGGAAAGGAAAATGACGACTTATCCGAATGACGACTTATAAAGGTTTTACTGTATTTCTACGTTAAAAAATCCCACTCAAGTACTTATACGTACACTTGACTTGCCGTGTTCCAATCGGCGGGTTTACAATTGTTCAAATGCGTCGCAGATCGATCGTCGATATTCCAAAAGTAATGAACAAACTCGTCTATGAAATACAATAGAAGAAAACCGCAAGAGAAGAGTAGCTCCGCGTACTCGGGCATAGACTCGCGGATCTCTGGTAACATGTGAAGAATCGCGGTTGCAAGCAGTACACCACCACCGAAACAAAGAGTACACGAAAGTAATAGTTTCTGCTGTAGATAACGTACACGCGAAACGAAACACGAGGGTGCAACGCCGACGATGAAGCTACCGGCAGCGATAGCGATCATCGAGGCTAGTTTTGCCTGGACCACGGTAACAGTCATTTTCGAGATGACAGACGGAATACGTTCACTGTCGGCTGACACTGCCAAGAACGATTGACGCTAATCTAGCTAACGTGATAAGGTCAATCGACTCAAGAGATAGGAGCACAATCGTGACACTTGAGAAAACGACTATTATATCGAGGAAATTAGAAAAACCGAAAATCTCAACGCAACAAATCCCCTCGCTATTTCGCTCTAACTAAATACATAACGACGTATCTGCGATCGTCGACGTGCGTCGATGATGAAAAATGCTACCGCGAAGAACGCATCAGGTAGCAGCAATGTAGATATAGTAATAACATAACATAAACTGTTTCCCAGACTTTGGACGTTAACAAATGCGTTTCGCATCCTTCACCTCCAAAGGATGGCGGCGTATTTTAGGGACATTTCCGTCCCTTTATGCCCAACGAACATTATCGACTGCTGATATAGTAATAATGATATTGTTATGCTACCGCAAAGAACGCATCGGGTAGCAGTACTGACCGGAAGCAACACAAAGACGAAGAAGATACTGACCAAAGTTTTATTTGATATCGATAAACTGCTTCGATAATGTATTCTTACGTTCACTGTTGTTTAGACCTTCATCTAATAGCTATTTTTGTATATCTTCCCTAACAAAAGGAAAATTGAAAGATCGTGACACTGTTTTGTACAAACAGTTATTCATACTTTATCTTCTTGTTGTGGTGCTAACCGAACTAATATATGTAGTTCGAAATATTACTATTTTAAAGGAATAATGAAAACACGATTATACTAACTTGTTAAAATTTAATTGAAGAATATACGCATTAATCATAAATAACTTAAGTTTCTAAATACATGTTACCTTTATTTTTAAGTTGATTGCAATTAGTAAGCATTAAATGAACAAATATTAAACTTGAAATTGACATATTTATATTTAAAGAAGACTATGGCAGTACATATGTAGTAAGATCCCCCCTCGTAGAGGCTTCCTTTTCCACGAGGTTCCGCCAAGCACCGTCCCTCTCCAACGACACTCGCGAAGAGAGTGACGAGTGGAAGTGGAAGGAGGCTCTCTATATATATATGCCTGAGACTCCCCACCACTTATCTATAAGCGCCTACGCGGGAAAATTTGATTACATTTCATTTCGTTTATTATATACTGCGTACGAACACATAACAAATGTTACTCTATAACGTAATATATTTATACAATAATTATAATCTATAATAAAAATTTGATAAATAAAAGTGTCAATAATGTTATATTCTTAAAAGATACATATATAAAAAAATTATTCTTATGTATTTAAGGTTACGTCATGAAAACGTTATAGGTAACAGGTTATAAGTTATAACATTCTTCTTTTACCACAGTATGAGCTCACAATACGAATATACTAATAAATTTAAACGTGAATATCAATATGACGATAGACGAAAGAAAAATAAAAGTAATAGTTCCAAATCACTACCCAAACAAAGCTATAACCAAGAAATTATATCAACTGACAGAGAAGTAATTTATAAATCTGATAAAGATTATGACAGTTTCTGTTTCACTAAATACAAACATGAATTAAACAAAATATTCTCAGGGAATTTGAATACAGTACAGGACACTGATGATTTTTGGAAATTTGTTAATAAATATGAAACTGTACAAAAGAAACTTAATACTTCTGATGCTGCAGTTAATTTTTCGTTGAATGATATTGGTGTACCAAAGATATATCACAAATTACATTGTATAAATTTCAAACTGAGTTTAAACTTTAATGAATTATTTGCACGCGTTCCTCCAACTGAAGCATTAACAAAGGAACAGTTATCAAGATTTCAGAACATAATAATTTTGTATTTAGATTTTAAACAGAAAGAAAAGTTTGCTAAATTGAAGAAGCTTAGAGAATCACAAGCAAATTTGCCAGTTTATCAGTATAAGAAAAAGATTATAGAAACAATAAAAAATGAAAGAGTAGTTATTATAGCTGGTGATACTGGTTGTGGAAAGTCCACTCAAGTACCACAGTATTTATATTCGGCAGGCTTTCAAAAAATTGGTAGGTGTTAAAATTACAATTTTAACCATTTGTGCTTTCAAATGTTTTTCCACAGAACATAATTATTGTATTAAAACAATTTCTTATAGCTTGTACGCAACCCAGGAGAATAGCTTGTATATCATTAGCCAAACGCGTTGCCTTTGAAACACTGACAGAGAATTGTAACCAGGTTGGATATCAAATTCGTTTTGAGAAACAAAGAAATCAAGATACTAAAATTACTTTTATAACAGAAGGACTTTTGTTAAGACAGGTAGAAATTATAATAAAGCTAAAAGTTCTATTAGTACTACAAATATTAAAGTATTATGTTTTGTTTAGCTATCTGGAGAATCTACTGTATTACCCTATGATGTAATTGTTTTGGATGAAGTACACGAACGTCATTTACATGGAGATTTTCTTCTTGGCATTATGAAGTGTATCATTAATCAAAAACAGGACTTAAAATTAGTGCTAATGTCTGCTACCATTAACATTGAACTTTTTGGTAATTACTTTGCAAAAGAGGATGTTAAAATAATACAGGTAAATCTTTAGTAATATACAATTATTAATTAATTTTGAAACATTCTTATAATAATAATTTCTATAATAGGTTCCTGGAAGATTATATCCCATTCAGTTATTATATAGACCTATTACCATAGAAGATTTTCGGTATAAAAATGATAGATTCAATCCAAGCCCTTACGTACAAATAATGCAAATGATTGATCAAAAATATCCAGGTAAAAAGTATTATTTGTTAAATACAGCTATTTTTAATCGTATAATTAATAATTAGTAATTTCAGTTGATGAAAAAGGCGATTTGTTAATATTTCTAAGTGGAATGAGTGAAATTACTGCAGTTGTAGATGCAGCAAAAGAGTATAGTCAGAAGAAAAATAACTGGATTGTTTTACCGCTTCATAGCACTTTAGCTATTAGCGAACAAGACAAAGTATTCGATTACGTTCCTGAAGGAGTAAGAAAGTGTATCGTATCAACGAATATAGCTGAAACTTCTATTACTATAGATGGAATTAGATTTGTTGCTGATAGTGGAAAAGTAAAAGAAATGAGTTATGACCCCTCGTGTAAAATGCAACGGCTAAAGGAATTTTGGATTAGCAAAGCCAGTGCCGAGCAAAGGAAAGGAAGAGCTGGTAGAACAGGACCTGGAGTTTGTTATAGGTATATCAATAAATCATGTTATAGTTTTATAACATGTATTAATACGAGAATATTTCCATGTAGATTATACTCGGAAGAAGAATATATGGGGTTAGAAAAATATTCAACTCCAGAATTACAACGCGTGCCTTTAGACTCCTTACTTTTACAAATGATAGCCATGGGACTTCCAGATGCGCGAAAATTTCCTTTTATAGAACCACCACCATCAGACAGTATAGAAAACTCTATTTTATCATTAAAAGAACATGTTAGTACATTTGATACTAGCCAAATAAATTGTCAACTCAACGAATGAATAAAACATACATCTCTTATTATAGGGTGCACTTACAGATAATGAAAAGATAACGTGTATTGGAAAAACACTTGCACGTTTACCTGTTGATATAACAATAGGGAAAATGTTAATAATGGGTTCAGTTTTTCATCAGGTTGAACCAGTACTATCCTTGGCTGCCGCTTTAAGTATACAAACACCATTTACAAATAGAGCGTACAGAGATCCAGAATGTGAGGTAATAGAATGTAATTGATAAATTCTTAAAAACATTTTTAATTATATACTAATTCAGTGATTTTAAGACATCTAGAAAAAAATTGGAATCTGATCATGGTGACCCAATAACATTACTAAACGCATTCAGAGAATGGTTAGAAATGAAACAACAAAATTCTCAGGAATCTAGAAGTTCTGGCAATAGCAGTAGAAAATGGTGTAAAAGAAGAGGCTTGGAAGAACAAAGATTTTATGAAATGACGAAATTAAGAGCACAGTTTAAAGAACTACTTCAGGTAAATTAACATCCCCCGGTAGCATTGATTTATGAAATCCTTTTACTTTAACATTTATAATTTACAGGATTGTAGCTTATTAAAAAATCTTCCGGAACCAAATTCTTCCATGAGTAGTGCAGAGCGTGCAATTAGACATGGAGAACTGAAACTTCTAAAGTCTTTGAAAAGAACTTATAAGCAAAGTGAACCCAGAAAGCGAAAACAATTAAAATTGGAGACTTTTGATATACACTTAGAAGATAATGATAACGACGATAAAGAAATTGACATAAAAGATGTTGAATTTCGTATGAGAAACGATCCAAGTCAAGTTCAAAATTTATTGGTCGCAGCTAGTGCATGCAGTTATAAGGATTTAACAATGTTAAAGTTAATATTGTGCAGTGGTTTATATCCACAATTTGCATGTGCCGATGAATTTAATTATTGTAAGGTAATGTTAATTTGTGCTTTTCAAGTAGTTGAACTATTTGCCGATGAATAACATAAATTTTCAGTCAATGAGTGAACAATTGTTTCATACAAAAGCAAAACCGTATATTGCCTTACATCCAATGAGCTTCTTTGGAAACCATCCACAAATACTACAGTTAGAAGAAACTGATATTGTATCAATACCAGGATTCAAAAGTAAAACTCCTGTTAGTCCAAAACATACAATATTAGCATATTTGTAAGTTTTTAATCATATTTTACATATCATTTCTACTGTAATCAAACGTATTAACTTATTGTACCATTGACAGATCTCTTTTAGAAACGACAAAGCCTTATTTAGTAAATACCCTTAGAATGCCTGCTGCACAAACGTTACTTCTGTTCGCACGTGAAATTGATACGAACAGTACATTTTCAATGTGAGTGTATAGCATACACAGTAAAACCTCTATAAGTCGTCTCCGGATAAGTCATTTTCCTTTCCTCGTTATTTTCAAATTTACATGGTTTCTACTCCGTTTAAGTCGTCAAAATTTCTTGGTCCCTTGAGTGACGACTTATCAAGGTTTTACTGTAATTAGATTTAACAAAGATATATCAATGTTGTATTGCGTTCTATGTTTTATAGAATTGTATGTGATTCCTGGTTAGCATTAGAATTTCCTGTACCTGATAGCGGTCAAACGTTATTAATGAAAGCTACTAAATTACGACACAAATGGGATTTTTTACTAAATCAACGCTTACAAGGTATTGTAAAAAAGTATTAAAATCCAGAAACAAAGTAGAAAGTTATTACTTAACTTAGATTAATGACCGAGTTTTAATATTAATTACCACAAATATTTTACAGAGCCAAACACAAATGATAATGAAAAACAAGATTTTAGTGAAATCGAGTACACACTTACTCAAGAATTGATTGACTATATGCACACCACAGTTCCTTATACATTAAAACGACTTTTACCAGCCGATTTGAAGACAATCTATGTGGGAAGCACCGACAACAACGTATCTATAGATCCTAATCCATTTCAGTCAGATTTTCAAGTAATTTCCAATTCAACTAAAGGGGGAGTTCATTTAACAAATACCATCACATATAATTGGTAAATTATTCCTAATTTATTTTTATGAATCAACAAGGTATAATTTAAAAAATCCATTAACTATAATTTATTTTTAGTTTGAAAGAAACTGAATGGAGTGATAAGCTTTTTTTAGAAATGTCAGAAACAGAATGGCAATGCCATAATTGTAATATGCAAGCAATTCTTACAAGCATACAAAAGTTACAACATCAACAGTCCTGTAATAAGCAATATACAAAGGAAATTGAAAAGCCTTCTAACAATATTAAACGTAAATCCAATACACAGACTTACGAGTGTCCTGACTGCGAGCAAATACTGCATCTAACACCAATCGAAATACTTAAACACAAGAAGTCACATATTAAATGAATCTTTTTTTTTTAAACTTTCCTATGAAACATATTTTGTATTTTAAATTATCATCACTCGTTTAATTATAATTGTAATAATTTACATTAGCTTATAATCTTTGTTATAAAGCAATATTGTATATTACAATTTTGTACATATTTGATATAATCATATATGGATTATATAAATAATAAATATTTAAATTATTCAACATGAAATAAATCATGTCCATGGTAAGAAGTTCGAAAACATGAAACAACCTATAACTGTATATCCTAAAAAGTAGAATAGTATAAGTTTATCTCGTAAAGCATATTTTTTCTGTTTAAGGAAAAATACTCTCCATTTGGAACATGCATTTTCTTCGCTTTCATATGCCTTGTTATTAATCGAATGAGGAGTATACGTTAAAGCACAATACCAATATATCAATGGACTCGCTGAACTTATCAAACGTGTGCTTACTTGAATGTGTACAAAAAGAATACAAAATACGGTTAAAAATAAACCATGACTAACAAATACTAACATTTCTATTGGATATTCCTTGATTTTTATCTGTTTCTCGTTTTGAATATTTGGGATAAATCCAAATGTATAAAAATATCTCTTATGTACAAAAAAGTATTCCTTAATACATCTAATCATAATATAAAGTATTGGAATTGCTAGAATAAAATTTGGTATTTGTTTTAATTCATAATAATTTAAAAATCCTACATTCCAATATTTTTTCTGTATGTAACCATATGCTACTGGAATTTTTAAACTGCACCACTCGCTATTGTTGCTACCTGATAATACTAAATTATTTTTTATACCATAATTAGTAATATGTTCAGGAATAAATGTGTAGTTTAAATTTGGAATACAGAATGTAATATAATTATACATTTGCAACAGAACAAATGGAATGATTGATATAATTATTGTATTAAACATTACACAGATGCTTCTTAAAGTTGTTAGTTTGAATATAAATTGACATAATGTTTTTAATGAAAAATTTGTGTGCTTTATTAAATAACTATAGGCTAAATTTTGTAATCTAAAATATATAGGAAATCCAATATTAATCATACCGTTTGATCTTGTAAGAATGGACAAACCTATTGGAAAAGATACGTACGGATCTAATTTAATAGATCTCAACATGCTATAAAATGATAAATAAGCAAATAAAGATTCTGTGTAAATAGCAGAAAAGAATATGGTAGCTGGATTTATACAATAAAATATTGCTGCTCTGTAGGACGTATTTGTATTTTTTAATACCGTCTTACTAAGATCATAAAACGTAACAGCAGATTTAATGAAGCACACAAAATTAATCAATGTAGCTGCAAGAATGATAGAACTATGAAGATTCAATACAAAAAATATCTTCTTAATAGGAGTAGCAACAATTCGAATCAATAGAGGGTATAATGGATAAAAAGCTAAAGTGTTTTCATATGTGTAACCATATTTTGAAATATGTATAAAATATTCACCATCCCATCGCGTGAGACCGCTAAATAAAAATGTAATTATAGTATCGTATATTGAAACTTGTTCAGAATTACTTGTGAAACTTTTAAATGCATCTGCGCGATGATCAGGGCATAGAATATTAAAAATAAATTGTAAAATTAAAATTACTATTCTACTAATTATTGCAAACCAAAATATCTTTCTTCTTGGACTGTACATTATTACTAAGTTGTGTATAAATACGTTCCTTTGATAATACTTACATTAATTATAACTTTGGTTCCATTATAACATTTTGTGTAAAGTTATCAATGCATTTTATTCTTCTTAGTTTTCTGTTTTTTTATATGAAAACAGTATGGTTGTACATAAGGTATTCCTCTTCCTGTCTCTGCTTTCTATTTTGGAGAAGTGCATAACTAAAACAAATATTGTAAATCATACCACATTAATACTTTTCCTTAGTATTACTTCATTGAATAACACGAAGAAATGTTTCAAATTAACAACGTTAGTTAATAATTTTCTCAACATTAGTATTTTAAGAAACAAAATGAAAGATTATCACTTTTTAATACCATACTCTTTCAAAAATATAATTGAATAAAATTTATACAATTTAATATATGTAAATATTTGTTAAACAATTGTTTAGAAAATAAAATTTTATTTACAAAACACGTAATAAGTTTATGCTTTTACACCACAAACTTTTTTAGCAAAATCTGCAATATGGTGATCTTTGGGTACACATTCATATTCAATAGTTTCCGCGTATGGCATAGGTACATCGATACCAGTGCAACGAACAGCTGGTGCATCAAGTTGAAAAAATACTGGATTTTCCATTACTGTTGCTACAATTTCAGAACCAACACCACATGTTGGCCATCCAAGTTCTACAGTCATTAGTCTATGGGTTTTTGTAATTGATTTAAAAATTGTATCCCAATCTATTGGCCTAAGAGAACGTAAATTAATCACTTCTGCTTCTATTCCTTGTCCCGCTAGGATTTCAGCTGCTTGCATCGTATACATAGTACTTTGGCCGTGTGACGTTAAAGTAATATCTTTGCCAGGTTTTTCAATTTTAGCTTTACCAATAGGTATCGTAAAATCTTTGTCCATAGCTTCATCTGATACAGGAAATTCAAAATTATAAAGCACTTCACTTTCTAAAATCACAACTGGATCAGGATCTCTAACAGCAGCTTTTAAACATCCTCTATAATCTTCGCAAGTTGAAGGTGACATAACTTTTAAGCCAGGCACGCTCATATACCATGATGCAAGACACTGAGAATGTTGTGCTGCCAAACCTTTAGCATTACCATTTGGACCACGAAATACAATCGGTACAGGCAACTTTCCAGCAGTCATGTAACAAGTTTTAGCAGCCCCATTTACTACACGATCAATAGCTTGTAATGAGAAATTAAATGTCATAAATTCACATATCGGTTTTAAACCAGCAAGTGCAGCCCCGATAGCTACACCACAAAAACCAGCTTCTGTTATAGGCGTGTCAATTAATCTTTTATCTCCATATTTTTTCCAAAGATTTTTTGTTACTTTATATGCACCATCATATTCTGCAACTTCTTCCCCCATAATAAATACTTTTTCATCACGAGCTAACTCTTCGTCAAGAGCTGAATTTAATGCATTTCTTATAGTCATTTTTTTAATGAATCTATAATTTTGTTTCCAAAAATTACATGATATATTTGACAGTATACTACTTCTCAAATAATGTAAAAATAACATCATAAATGGTATATTTAATAACTAAAAAAATTTGGAAGAATGTATTAACATGTTCTTTCTCTCTTTTAATATAATTTGGTTTATGTATTACAATTGTAATCAATATTGTGATTAGTCTGGTGAAAAAATTTATAATGAAGTTTTAATAAACTAACAATATCAGTATACTGTTATTAATGAATGATTACCTGAACAAAAAAGAACAAATCTTCCTTTACGCAATGCTAATACGTTGAAGTTTCTACTTTATTAGGTATTTTGTTTATATTCCTTCATATCCTTGAACCTGTAAACAAAAATTAAATTGAAATAATTATATTAAGTTACAATACAATTACATTTCTTAAATTACCTCTTATATACGTTCAGAATATAAAACTAATGTGAAATTATTGATTACTATCTTATAAAAGATAACAATTTTAAAGATGTATATATATTAAATTAAGTATTCACTAAGAAAAGCTTCAGTGATTAAAATTATCACTTTGATACAAATCATCAATATACTATACATAATAATTTTATTATAGCTTTATGGTAACATAACCTTTCCTGTCATTGAAATAAAAAAAGCTTTTGATGGTTAGAATTATGTTTGCTCCAAACGTTTTAAAATTTGGTGATTTATTAAAAGTAAATCATGAAATTAGAAAATCCTCAATCAAACTTTTCCACACACGTAAGTACTCTGCACTTCGAATACAATATTAATTTAATGAACAGGATGCTAATTGTTTTTCAGAATTTCAAATACTGTTTTCAAAGGAAAATGAAACAACTGAAAGTCCAAGAATCCGCGAATTTAGAAAAAAGCTAAGGGAGCGGACACCCATAGGTATATTATGAAGAAACATTTATTAAAAAATTATAAATAATATTATTTTAATAAAATGACATTATTTAATTGATGACAGAAAAATTAGAAGAACTGGAAGAAGGAAAACATCCTTATCAAGAAAAAGAACCTTTGAAACCATTTCCAAACAATATTAATCCAGAAACAGGTGAAATAGGAGGCCCACGTGGACCAGAACCAACTCGATATGGTGATTGGGAAAGAAAAGGCAGAGTAACAGATTTTTAGACGTAAAAATTCTGTACGCATAGTTCTTATAGAACAATATCTAGTATTAAATAATACATGTATACATATATGTATGTACATGTATGTATAGTATAGCTAATAGCATACTTTTATTAGAAGTTTTGTTAAAACTATAACAAAAGAATAGCATCAAATTTCATTGATCCTGCTATCATACTAATCAAATATGCATATTTTAAAGCTAAATTTATTTTTAAATAGTGCTGGTTTCAGTAAGTTTAACTTTTTAAATAAAGTTTTAATGCATCAGCCAATTTTCACATCCAGACAATTTGCAACAAGTATGAAATGTACAAGTTTTAATTTGCAACCTAATAATTTTGATATTTTAACCATTGTATATATTATTATATTTAGCTACTTTATTACAAACTGAGAAATCAAAGCCAGGTAAAAAAGAGGAATCAACAAGAATGAAACAGTTTCATAAGAAATTAAGATTGCAACCCATACCAAGTAAAATAAATACGAATTGTAAATAGTGTATAGATTACAGGAGCTAGATTATTATAATCGTTATAAATATGATAATAGGAGTACCGCCACGAGAACGATTTGTAGATTTGGTATTAGTAGAAACTAATCCAAAGAATGGAGAAGCAATAACAGATAGCGAGAAAGATCCAACAAAGTGGGGAGATTGGCAAAACGGTGGACGAGTGACCGACTTTTAATAAAAAATATTCCAGTTCATATATGATTTTGATTTGAAAATGTAAATTAAAAACGCGGTATGACACGAAATAAACTATATTTATAGATATAGTAATATTCTCGTTCATATGAAATTGTTTTCTAAAGTGCATTATTTTATATTTACAATACAATTTCATATTACAATATGAATACAGAAATTTCCAAGTCACACTTTCATGATGCGCGATACACAAAATACAAAATTTGTTTATGAAAAGTTAAAATTAAAAATAGCGAAATATGTACATAGTGGTGATTCTTACATTATAGTTTCATCCTACTCCTAACAGATCCATAGATGATGTATTAAAAATAACATCCAAAACATCTTTAATGAAAGAATTAAAATTAATTGCTTTTCCAAACTGAATCATTTATGATTAATACAAAACAGATCTTTGTAAACTTCTTAACGAAGTCAATTTTCTAATGCTTTTACTTACAAACCGGAAATCAGTAGTGTTGTAAGAGCTGTAAAACGAGAAAAATGATCTGGAAGTACAGATACGCTCATATTCAAATAATAGTTTTTCAGTCTTTCATCTAGCATCGACGGACCTGAAAATTGTTTTAAGGTAGCATCGAATTTTAAAGATTATAGATCTTAACGAATTATAAGCTATAAAGTTTTATTGATGGCTAACACATCTCGCATCATCATGTTTTTGAGCGTCCATAAGGCATTCACCACATTTCCATGGTTGCCTACACCGTTACCTAGCCATTCAACAGGTAATTTTGTTACATCAGGAATTTGTGTGTTATCAGGATTAGCATTCATTTGTTTATCCCAATTTGATATGTATCGGTTTTCTACATTTAATGCTTCAATGTATCTAAAGAAATAAATAATGTGTTTTTAAAAATTCACAAATTTGACTAAAATTATAAAAATTTACCGTAAGTAGGCATCTGAATGTAATACACGACTTGGTCTTGGAGGAACAGCAACGAACATTGGTTCAGGTTGCTTAACGACTGGTATGTTACTTGTTTGTGTCGCAGCTGCCGATGTTTCTATAATAAAATAAATGTACACATAAGAATACACAGAATATTAACATGTTCCCCTGTTTGCTTAGATGAAATTTATATTTTTATCGTTAAAAAGTTGAATTGTTAAAAACCAATTACCTGTTTCCATTGGTGGTAATACCGTTGGACCTTTTGATGCCATGTAGTTTCTAAAATAAAAATAATAAAAGATACTGAATCATGAATTTAAAAATACGTATTTATGGTATAGTAAGATTTAACATACTTGCTTCTCTCTAAAGGAGGTATGATGCGACCATTCGACTTAAGAATATGAACCTCTTTAACATGCCTTGCAAGCCTTTGTACACTTGGAAATGGAGGTACAGACTTTTTCGTACGACCACAACCTCGCCACTGGCATTGAAATTCTACATCTATTGAAACGTATAAATCTTAAAACTTTATTCTTAATAGTATTAGAATAATATGATACACTTACCACTAGCGGCATTAACAAAAGATGATTGAACATGACCATTTTGTTCGGCGATACAATGGTCGATACAATCAGTCATATCTTCAAATTGCCAGTCACAATTATCCCAACAACATTCGTATACTACATCTTGTAAAGCATTAGTGCCTACTGAAACAGCATTTCCTTTAAGTTGTCCACCATCCTCGTTCATTTTAATTGCTCTTTCTTCCCAAGCCTGTTTCTCTCCTGCTGGCAATTTTCTCCACTGAAATTGAAAAAGGATATTTTGTACAATTTCTCCTTCTATTTTAATTAACTTTTCAGAATGCAATATTTCAAACCTTTGCAAACCTAATCTACAGTATGTTTCAACAATTATTGCATACAATGTTTGTGTTCAAATAATAACTTTTATCACAGTAATAATATTTGCTGTTTTGGCGGGAAAATCGTAACGTACTTGAAAGAAAGATGAAGCATGCAGAATGACACAACACTCCCTCGACAATATTTGATAAAAATAATTCGGTAACTTTATTTATAATATTATGCTTGGAACCATTTAATCTGCATACTTTCCTTCTTCGATGAATTCTTATAGTAAACTAAAAATCAACAGTAAAAAATAAATAAATACCTCGTTACCAACAATTCTGCTAATCTCCCCAAAGGATGATTCAGGATTGTTTTGTGTAATCTGCGTTCGCATTTTACTCGAATATAAAATATAGCCCGTAACTAATTTCTTACCCGCCGTTTTCTAAACAGAGGAAAACACAAATTATAATGTCAACGTCTTACCGATATTATACCTTCACGGATAAAACATCTAATTGTCGTTCTAATGTTAAATAACAACGCTGAAACGGTGCAAAACAAAAAATATGCTGGCATATTTTTTTAAATAAATAAAATTAAAATGAAATAAATCAAATGAAACATATAATCAAAATAATGTCACGATAAGGCCTACCTTTTTAGTCGACACAGGTGTTTGAGTATTGGAGAGCACCGGTTGAGCTTCTGCAGATCCAACGGACGGTGGACCACCAGCGTCCATGCTGTCCTCCCCAACTCCTACTCCTACTCCCACTCCTAATCCTACTCCCATGCCTAGTACATCGGGTTCCAGCTTCGGTAACAATGGTGATGCCTCCTATACCATTTACGTTATGTTACGTTCATTATCCGTTACCGAATGTAATGTTATGAATATATATATGTATATATTTTCTTTTGATATCAATATAATAATTTTGTATAATCCTACCGATTACATAGACTTTTCTTAGTTACAGAAATTTACAACAAATATCATTTGTAGTACAAGTTAAAGTATAGCAATAATGATATTATTTCAATAGTTCAATTTGATTTTTTGTCTATATCCTAAAACCTTGATATTAGTACTTTATGCATACATTCCATTTAAAGTAAAATGCTTGATTTTTACATTATTTGGGTTAGAGTGACATGGAAGCGAGACTTTTGGTGGTATTCTACGTACATCGTATATGTATGTACATACATATGGATAAACCCAACAGGTGCTCTGAATTGAAATCCACGAAAAATAATGTACTTCTATTAAATACTACATAGAAAAATATACTTTCACGAAAAGAAAAACATGTAAGAAAGAAAAAGAAAGAAAGAAAGAAAGAAAGAAAGAAAGAAAGAAAGAAAGTAAAATGAATATGCCGGCATAAGATGAAAAGCATGCTCAGATATATGAACTAGTACACAATATTTTTATCACATGCAAGTCATATTGCATATAGTGTATAGTCATAATTTAAGCTCATAATATTTGGAATCATTATCAATTTGCATGTGAGCTTGCGTGTGATTTTCATAGAACATGCATTTCCATAATATTGTTAACAGATGAAACTTAACAGTAGTTAATGATAGAAATTACCATTTCAAACTGAGTTGAGCTAGGAGTAACAGACTTGACTTGATTTTGCGTCTGAGCCACATCGCCCGGAACCTATAACACACACATCACATGCAAAGCAATTATATTCAGTTAGTTGCATATCAAATAACAGGCTACTTATTGTTATTAGACTTTTGTGTAGGATATTACTCAAGTTTTCTCACCTTAGCAGGATTAATAGGCCTTCGAAAGAAATATATTTCATCTTCAGTTACTGCTGAACTATGATTTAATTTTTTTAAACCTTCTTGTCCAAGTTTTTTCATGAGGCTTTTACTTTCATCGTATAAAGATTCACAAATATATATATCATCTTCTGGAATCTCTGTGGGTCGACCTAAACAAGCGTATCAATTTGAATAAAAGTATAATGTTTCTATAAAATGCATAATTATTAATGTACTACTACTAATTCGTATACTTACTACAAATATATTCTCCATAGTCAAGAACAGCACACTTTCCAACAATGGCCACGATAGGATGAGTACCATCTACTGTAGATAGGAATAATTCTTGTTTATAAAATAACTTTGTAGGCGTATGTGGTACTTCTGCAGGCATTAACAACCATGGCCCCTTAAAGTAACACTTTCCGCTAAAAAAAAAATTAAACAGTTGTTTGAATTTCTGTATACGATATTTATTTCTAAAATGTATCACTTACTCTTTTGTCGACCATATAGCATCGATTTGTGCAATTTGTTGCCTGCCTCCATCTGTTGCTACATAAACAAAATCTCCAGTTTTTACAGAACCCGCACATGTATTATATTGTTCATAATAAGTATTCTCCGTGTCTTCTGGATTATATAGTATCACATTCTATAAAACAGAAATAATTTTTAAAGCAAAAAATTACTATATCATATTGTAATGCTATGAACTGTTACGAATTTGAATTGCTCACAGGTCTTTCTTTTTCCGTCAATTTTTCTCCTTCTTCTAATTCAGCAATTTCTTCTTTATGCTTTTCTAATCTTTCTTTATAAACTGATATAACTCGCTTTGGTTCTAACGGTTTCTCTCTTGAAATTAATTTCAAATGATCCGGATCGAAATTCCACACTTTGATTTTTTTGAAAGCTCTCGCTTTCGTCGAGTATCGTGATTCACATACATAAACATCTTTTTCTATGAAACCTTCTGGTTGCATTCTAAAATAATCCTTAACACTTAAAACACAACACCTTCCAGCTACTTTAGCCAAAGGTACAGCGACATGGGCATCGCTTTTAAATAACTCTTTATCAAGAAATTTTCTAGATGCTACATGATAAGTTTCACTTGGTCTATAAAATAAATTGCCGTATAACATTTGTTGTCCTTCCGCATTAGTCCATAGCCGTTCTATAAGAACTACACTATACTCCATCCCTCGTTCTGTAGGTTCTATATACGCAAAATCACCCGCTCTATATACTTCTTGATTAAAACTCATTGAACCACCATTATCACTATTATTTCTCTCTGTGCTGGTATTTGTTTCAGCATCCTAAATAAACAAAATAAAAATATTTATAAATTTTTGTAATTTTTATAGAAAATTATATTTTATGACGTGAAGTATTACGTACTTTTGCCTCATTTCCATCGCAACTTTCATCTTCGTTGGGTAATGACAATTCTTGTTGTTGTTTTGCACGTTTCAATTCTGCGACCTGAGTAGAGAGATCTAAAAGTGTATAGTTGAGTGCAGGTGAGTGTAATAAATCTCCGCCACGAGTTACTTCATCGCGAGTACGTAAAAAAAATGCTTGAAGCTCCACGCTATCTTCAAATGGTTGTGAATCTGTACGTGATAATCTTCTAGCTCTTTCTAAACACGTAAATACGTCTTCTTGGAACCGGTCTAATCGCTTATACACTCCGCGATCTAATCTCCTTTTAATTAAATCCAACGATAATCCTCGTACCCTAATACATAAAAAGAATTTATTCAAACTGAACGGGTAATAAACAATTGTTAAATAACGCAAATTAAATAAGAAATAACATACTTCTTTTCGTCGATAATATCATGTTCTGGAAGTTCCGCCATAGAATCTGAGTAACATCTTCCTTCTTCATCTTGATGATTATAAAGAGCAGTAAAAATTGTTGCTAATATTTCTTGAACTGCAGCTGATACATCTGGTACACTTTCTTCATCTTCACTTAATTGTAACTTAGTTTGAAGAACTAATCGTTGCAAAATTAATGCGTCCTAGAATATCATTTTAATATTTCATAAATTATTAACGTTTTATAGATAAATAAAAATATCTACAAGAAGAGAATAATATATTGGAAAAAAAATAAGTTAACTGTTTACTTCTGCTTCATTTGTCTTGCATTTTTTTGATAAACGTTGATCTACTTCTTTATCTCTCATTAAACGAATAAAACAAGGTCGAACTTTTAGTGCTCTTTGTATAAAAATATTACTTTCATTGCTACTGTCTCCTTGTTCAAACATTCTGAACAGA